TATATATATTGATGCCATCATATCAGAGCTTAAAATGGAATTAAATTCGATCTTTATGTTCTCTTGATCTGGTTATCACACCTTTTAGATTAGAGCCGGCCAGAAAGTTTTTGAGCGACGAATCATTAGAGGGCGCTATGTTAACTACGGATCGCGTTCACGCATTGATCTATCAAATCGTATAATAATATGATAATGATATCTGACAGGTTCGCTTATGTTAATTTACATTTACTAAACACATAATCCACATTATCCTGTTACCTAATTACAAGAAGAAGCAAATAACAATACAGACTTGACTTTGACAAATTGTGCTTGTCTTTTGGGCATCCAACTAATACTCAATCTGATAGAATAACCGAAATTTACATTTTGTTTGGTGCCAAATATGCTAATTTCAAAATCATCGCATCATCTGCTATTCAAATTCAATAAATATTTCCAGCTAAGAAAGGTTAAACTGTCACATTTTCCGTTTATGGGCTTAGAAACGATTTAAAAGAAACCTACAGTAACATGGAATCAATAATTATTCATAACTATTAAAAATACAAATATGCCAATGGCCTAACAGTATAATGATTCATTTGTTAATTTGAAAAACATGATCTAATTTCATAGTGTACTTTTTAAAGGGTATTATTTAAATGTAAAGGTCAGGATTGGATTGCGCCCTCAATATTCACCGTGAAAAGTGTTTATAGAGAGAAAGGTCTCAGTGTTGAAATTTTCAGCCAACACCTACAAAGCGGTATTAAAAAGTAATAATAATAATACCTTTTTGATTACACACACATTGTTACAGGCCTAGATACAGTATACGTTAACATTTATTAATGTATTAATATTAACAAATGAAACAGCATACTGTTTGTCATACATTATAGAAACACGTTAACAAATTTCAATTTATAACACGGAATTGGTCTAGCTTATTTTAAAATGGTAAAATATAATAATTATTATTATATTATCTATAATTATATATAATTTACTTCTAATGATACTATTAAGCATTCATTGATTTACATACTCTTAACTACAATAATTAAATTCATTACTGTACCTGCAGTTAAATATGTCAAATAGAATACCTTAAAAAATTCAATCAAAACATTGAATCACTAATACAAAACAGAAGGAATGATTAATCCAATTTTAATCAGATCGCATGAAATAGATTTTCGCCGAAGTAATAATAATAATAATATTATTAATCACTTTAATAATAATAATAATAATAATAATAATAATGATAATAATAACAATAATAATAATAACCATTACTATGAAAACTATAAGTGTAATGCAAACCTATGTATAAATAATTGTGCTGTATGTAATCATATTTAACTTTTCTTCAGAATTGTCAATGACTATTGACTTGTTACTTTATTTATAAAATTTATTTTTTTGTGATATAGTTGTTAATTTTATTTTATAATCAATGGGCGCCCGTTATAAAGCTTGCTTGCTGTGGCGACCCTTTTTCCACTTTATTCAAATGTTCTGATGAGCTTAAATTCTTATCAATTATTGTTTTTTTTCCCTTATGTATTCCTCCGTCTATGTATTTTGTATTGATGATGTGGAAATAAACTTTAAATTGAATTGAATTGAATAATAACAATAATAACAATAATAATAATGATGATGATGATGATGATGATGATGATGATGATGATTATGATGATGATGATGATGATGATGGCAGACTTATATGCGCATATTGTTAAACCCTTTATGCACTTCACATCATTACCCCGGTCACTGGATTAAACGCCTATGGAACACAAACTCAAGCTCATGGGGAGTATTCAATTAACGTTGCAGCAGCGACATCAGAGCATGTTGGCATTTAACCCTACCAGGTACGGTACCCACTTACACTCCTGGCGAAGAGAAGCGATGCAGACAAAGTGTCTTGCGAGGGATTGAAACACCGACCTCGAGGTTGGGAAACTAAACCGTTCCGCTGCCCCAAAACATTCCCACAATTACACAACAACAACAACAACAACAACAACAACAACAACAACAATAATAATAATAATAATAATAATAATAATAAATCATCGAAATAATTACAATAACAACAACAATAATAATAATAATTATTATAGTACAGAAATGTATACCTTTTACTACTAAAATCCTGAAATATATTTTTATCAACCAATTTTGGGTGGTCGGTGCAAAAATTGAAAGTAATAGGCTTATTTACACATTCATTGATAGTAATAACAATTTGTTTTATCATTAAATTTTGTAATTGAAAGCGAACAAGTTACTTAAATAGACAAAGTAAGAAATTCAAGTTTTCATTTTCTTTTCTTAACATTCAGTGTTGTTATCTTTGAAAGCCGATTTCCACTAGATGTGGTGGCACGCGTCCTTGGTCCAAAAAATAGAACTTATTTATAATACAATCATATACCATGCATCACCCTGTCGCGTAGTTGCGTCGCCTCCATCGGTGATGCTCGACTAATAGATTAATGCATCTCAACATCTGACCAATAAGGACGGGCAGAATACGCATGTGCCATAATGAGCGTCCAATAAACTAACCCGTTACTTTGAATGAGTAAAGGAAAAGAAATTACTCAATTGGCATTTTTCCACTTATGTTATACTCATCGACTTATTACCACCCACCATGACTAAAATGGATTCATTTGACATTAAAATGCATAATTGTGATGGGTTGTCATTCTCTTAACAATAAGCACTTATATACTGTATTACTCTGTAGGCTGGGAAAATAGGCTATATGTGTCATATCGCTACTTACATATAAACGCTGACAATACGCTTTTATTAAGTGACTGTATCAACAAAGAGGTATTATATTCTTTAATTGCTTACCAACTTGACACAATGGCGTTCAGCTGCTATTAAATAAAACCTAAATTATAATTTCAAATGTCATAATTATTTATTAAGACATTAGAGAGTGTGTGATTATTAAACATTTAACATGATCCGGTATATCCATCGAACTAAATACAATAATCGCATTGACGTTTTAAGCAGTAATTCCAGAAATTACGGGAAAAAAAGAAGAAAGAACTTCCACTTTGCAACAGTATTCCCACGATGCAACACCATTAATTTTCAAAACGTCAAAAAGACGCTTATCCATTAATCTCGTAGGCTATGTATTCCCCTGATTACAATCTCATTATACAACACAATACCTTGTATAATGAAGGTACAGTACAGCACTAAGATTATTATTATAATTGACACGGATAAGGTTCGAATATTCTAAAAAGAGCTGTAATATTGGCATATGTCTTAGTATTTTAAAAAATCAAGAAACGATTGATTTGCAATATATGTTCTATATTCTCAGCGTACTACAACGTAAAATCCTACTTCGTATTACAGTACTACTGATTAAAAATTATTATATGAACATTATGCAAATTACATACATCGCATTGATACAATAGTTTAATACTAAACAGAAAGCACCGTGAAATTTTACCTGTGAAGTAAGTTTCTTGAGGCTAGTCCTAGAGATTACACTAGGGGACTTTCAATTTCTCGACGACGGTAAGAGATGGAATTTTATGACGTCACAGACAGTTATAAGCGCATGTTACAACGTTTGACGGTCACGGATGAGTGAATTTGTTCTACGCTCACGTCATATCGCGCAAATCGAAAGCTTCATAGAGTCAGTCCTCTGTTATTATCGTTACTACAACTTACAAGTACATTAGGCCATAAATTAATCAGTCTTACTACAGCCAGTCACAGCAAGGGTGGCTCAGGATGATTTGTCGCAAAAAGTCATAAACCTCACCAATATTAATAATGAAATCACGTGGAACAATTATCAAAGTGTTGGTTCACTGCTGTCTAGGCCTACGTAGTAAAAGTCCGAGGTTTCTTTCTGTAACATTATGTCAAATGTCGAATATATTTCGGAAAAAGTTGGTCTTTGAGATGGAATAGCCTGCCAACACTTCGTCATCACTGCGTAGCTGGGTGGAAAAAAAAATCCAGATTATAAACTATTATATGACAAAACATGTGACATGCCTAAATTATGGTAATGATGACATCACATCATGACCATATATAGGCACAACATGACTATATATAGGCACAACATGACTATACATGGACACACGAACGTTTTTTTGTCAAAGATAATTTGATAGTGTGCACAAAGCTGTAAACTTCATTGTGAAAAAAGCGTGGACGATAAGCAAAGATCCACGCAATGTCGCCTCGTGTTTGGTGACACGTTTACAAGCTAAACGTGTTTAGGATCTTGACGTGTTTAGAATTAAATGTGCTTAGGTATTTGACATCATGATGCAAATACCTAAGCACATCTAATGATAAAACACGTCAGAAACCTAAACACAATTAGCCTAAATGGGCCTAAACACGTTTAGTTTTTAAACGTGTCACCAAAGACGGGACAGCACTGCGTGGAGCTTTGCATATAAATCCTCCACGCTGTTTTTACAGTGTTGTTTAAACATTTCCTATATTTATAGGCCTAATACATAATAATTTTTTAATAGGTCACCAATCAATCTCATAAGTTTATAGCGTGATCTATGCAGCACACATTCCTGGAGAGATTAATTTGAATCGACACTTTTTATTTATTTATTATGAAAGTTCGGTACACAACCCGGGGAGGCAAGATAGCCACATAGTCGATTGACTAGTGGCTAATAATAAGCCTCCTTCTTAAATAAGCTTAAGCTGAAGACCAACATCGCAAAGAAAAAAAAAAGTAAAACATAAAACAAAAAATCAAGAGGATTAGTTTTTAAGGTGTTCAATTAAATTTTGTTAAATCTATAATATGTATGTATAAATTACCTTTAAATGAGTATCTGTGTATATGCCTTTTGATAATAAAGACTTATATTAGATTCGAATTCAAAATTATAGGTAGGTATGACATGATTAATTTCCCTTTAACTAGAAGGGGGTTGTTATAGTGACTTAACTATATAAATTTTAAGGAATAGGCCTATCGTCTTGCAAAAAAACTTTACGATAAGTACAGATAAAATTAGATCATCATAACGATAATGAATGCCGTCGACTCAAATTATAATTGATACTGAATCTTAGATACAGTACGGTACTCCACAGTCGACATAATGCATGATCGCACAAAAAAAAAAAAGAAAGAAAGATGACTTATTAAAATTCGCCGTTTGCAAGACCACAGTTCATGCAGTAATTATTTATAATATTAAACAATGCTGGATTGTAAATGTTAATATTAATTTTCAGCTAATAAATTTACAATGAGACATATGGAACTACTCTGCTATATCCAGCTGTGCTTAAAGTGAGTTTACAAGTTGTTGATAGTAATAATGAAAACAACACCACCAACAACAAAAACAAAAATAAAACAACAATAATAATAATAATAATAATAATAATAATAATAATAATAATAATAGTACCGGTAATAATAATCAATCTGTGATGATACAATTCCACATAACGTAGAGATGTAATAGACCTAGGCCTATGTATTTTATTTCAAAGATGTTCATGTTTAGGTAGGCCTATGCGTATCTTTTCAATGGAGTTCATCAAACTCTTAAGAGTGGTAATGTCATTAATATCATTTTACTACAAACACGAGCATTAAGTAATTAAATCATGGCTCATTTGTAATATAAACTGTACTACTATACACATCCATATAGGCATAACGATTGACTTCCTTATTATTATTTCTCATGAGATTTGCTTACCGTTCATTTTTTATTACAATAGTTCAGTGCCGAATGAGCATGAACAAAAATAGGCTATGTGCCTGGGCAGTCTCAATAGCATACTGTGTGTACTGTGTAATGTATACTTAATTAGATGCACGCCGCTGTGTTTTAAAACCCGAATCTAATATAAGCTACTATAATTTATTTAAAGGCATTTACACATGTACTCATGGAAAAAAAAGGAAAAGAATAATAAGGAAGCATAAGAAAGGAAAATGAAATGAAAGGTAAGGGAGTATATAAGAGGAAAAAATTAAGACAAACAAGGAAATATAAGAAATGAAAAGGAAAGAAAAGAAAACTATGAAAGGAGTAGGAAGATAAGATAACAGTGGCGGATCCAGGAATAATAACTCAGCCCCACCATTGTTGGGGCTGAGGTAAGACAATTTATGATTTTGGTTTGGCACCTCTAAATGACCGGAAATGGCACGCTTAGACACACGATTTGAGTAGAATTTTCTTTTTTTCTCAATTTATTTTGAAAAAAATGGGGTGCGTGGGGGAGGGGGCGGGGGTGTGGGTACGGAAACCGCCACTGGATAACGAAATATCACAAAAGACTCATGAAAGAAAAAATGAGGATAGAAACAAAAGGCAAAGAAAAATGAAAGGGTAAGGAGTTGAGAAGGAAAAGTAACACGCTATGAAATGATAAGGTAGGACTATGGAAAGAAAATTTAATAATTGTGTGTGGGCTAATTTGAACAGATCATTACAACAACCATCGTTACAACAACCAAACTATTGTAATCGTTATTATTACAATTACAATTGTAATAATAACGATTACAATAGTTCTTAATCGTTATTATTGTAATCGGAATTATTAATCATCGAATTAATTGTTAAACTAAACCCTAAAATAAATTTTGTTTATGCTAGTATAGATAGTATAATTATATACAACTTACGGTTTAGTATATAGCTTAGGCTTACGCTACATATAGTGCAGGAAAAAAGGTTTTTGCTGGGGAATCTCGGATTCTTGGATTTGGGACCACCTACCTTCTATTTTATGGGACCTGTTTAACCAACCGTATATAAATGACAATGATGATTACTAGTAGCTGATTAGTACTGTAATTATGGAGACAATTGTTTATTTTTGTTTATGCTAGTATAGGTAGTATATATATATATATAGCTTACGGTTTAGTATAGTAGGCCCTATATAGCTTACACATGGTGCAGAAAAAAGGGTTTGCTTGGGAATCTCGGATTCTTGGATTTGGGACCACCTACCTTCTATTTTATGGGACATTGTTTTACAAACCGTATATAAATGACACAATTTATCAATTAATAAAATCTTGGTTTTTTTTTAAAGGTGCACTGTTCAACCAAATGCCAAATAAGGTCGCATTAATTTGTGTAGAAGAGGATATAAACATGCCAAACTTGTATATAAACTGAATGATGTTGAGTGAATGTGAGTGATTGTTTGTCATTTTGAAGGGTTTCGTTCTCAGCTTTTTGAGAATGATATGTAAACATCCACTCTGCACTTGGCTAGCAGCAACTAGCAGTTAGCAGTTACATTTTTAAGCGCCTATTGTACTTGTATGTAGTTACAATGACATTAAGCACATGTTCTTCGACATTAAAATCGTGAAAATATTAATAATATCACCTATTTTTAATTATTTTTACAAGAAAAGTGTAAATGACAGTCTTACACTTCATCCGTACACCCGTCTGGCTTTGACATACGATATCCGTTCTTGATTTTTTCAATAAGTCCGCTGAGTGCGATATTTGGATAAGGGGGTGAGCCGAACGTTACGATCTCGTACAAGAGAACTCCAAAGGACCACCTATGCAAAGAAAAAAGACATGGAAAAATAATGATAATGATAAGTATGCCTAATAGAATTAAGGTTAGTGTGAACATTTAAAGACGCAGCTTTCGTACACACATCGATCAATGGACCATTCCGTCCTTTGGATAGTATTGCTTAGGTCCCACAAGACGACAGTGTTAAAACATACGCGAACCACGTCCGCCTGTGGGACCTTTGTGTTTGTGAGACGCGCGCGTATTCCTATCGCTGTTCTGATTAGTCAGTTGTTAAGTTTGATTGAGGTCTATTGATCAATTGATTGCTTAGAAAGTTGATTGCTAAATAGATTAATGGACAGATAGATAGAAAGATTAATTGAGTAACTGATTGACTAACTGACGGCTGATCGATCTATTGTTCATTGATTGGTTTATTATTGATTTCAGTAGTGGTTATGATGGAATTACTGTACTCATTTGCTATAGAAAATATATTACTGACCGTGACTTTAATGATTGACTCCATGGTTTATTGAATTATTGATTGATTGTAGTTGGTTGATTGATTGGTTGATTGATTGTTCATGTTCAATATTCATTTCCACAATTCAAAATATTGCAAAACAAAGTTATAATAAATCGTCAAATAATTTTAATGTGTGGAGGAGGCTAAATAGAAGCTAATTAGACTTGTCGATTCCCACCAGAGGTGTTTTATTACACATATTACATTTCTTTATTCATTTACAGGACTACATTCGTTGCGAGCTATGCTACACGATGTATTATTATGTCCTTTATTCGAACACTGTATTTACCTTTCTTTGATAATTTATATATAATTTAACAGTGTTAACGGTTATCTTGGTTTATATTATATGCAACTATTTGTTTCCAGCCGTACCTATTGTGTAATGAGTATATCTGGTGGTATTTGAATCTGTTCAACCATATAGCCTCCGTGGTCTAATGGTTATTGACACTCGCCTTGACAGCGAGAGGTCGCAGGTTCGAATCCCGCCAGATGCATTATTTTTATTACACAATTTATTCATTTATTTATAGGACTGCATTGAGAGCTATGCTACACGATGTATTATTATGTCC